CCAAGACGTTGGCGATGAGTTGGCAGCGTACCTCGTCGTCGGTCGCCGCCTCGGTCGAGATGACAAGACCGAGGCCGAGGTCAACGAGAGTGTGCGACTCGACATGCAGCCGTGGCGGGACCTCATGCAGCGCATCCGCGCGATCGCGCCGGCCGACACGCCCGCTGCGTACCTGAATGCTGTGCACACGTTCAACGAGGCCAACATTGGCCACAAGTTGCCCGACCTCGTACTGCTGATGACCAATCTGCTGGCGGAAGACTTTGTCAAGATGCAGAAGAGCCCGGTCACGTGGCCCTACTGGCTCGGCGCAGTTGTTCTGGGGGCCGTCGCTGTGGGGTGTGCCGTCGCGACGACCGCTAGTGCCGCCGAGGTGGCTGGAGCCCTCGTCGGCGCCGCTGCGGCACAGTTCAGATCGACGAAGTCGGCGGGGCCATCCTTCGGGCAACTCTTTGGATCGCTCATCGCCTTGATTGCAGGCGGCTTTGGCAGCTACGGCGCCTCGTGGAGCGCGCTTGCGATCCATCTCAAGACCGAATCCTTTCGCACCGCGTCAAGCGCCTACTCGGACCAGCTCAAGAAGATGGCATCCTCCATGGGCCTGCATGACGCACCGCCGACGACGCGGCTCTTGGAGACGCAGCTGGCGGCAGTCGAGCTGCCCAACGATGCGAAGCAACGGCCGCTCTTCGCCGCCTTCTCGAAGGTGATGCAGACGCTCGTTCGACTCGAAGAGGCGTGTAAAGCCATCGTCTTTATCGTGCTCAACGGCGACCAGCACGTCGGCAAGTCGTGGTTCATTCGAGCGCTCAACAGCACGCGACAGGAGGCCCGCGAGTCGACGACCTCGCCAAGTTTCTTGCGCTACGCGCCAATGGCCGACGACCCGACCCGTAAGGTCTACCTCATCGACATACCTGGCAACAACACGTTGAACGAAGTCCAGGCGCAGTACACGGCCGGCCTCCACGGCGTTGGCACCATTGGCATTAGCCTCCTCCAGTTTGACAAGACGCCGCACGTGTTGCCCGCGGCGGCCATCCGCAGCGCGTTTAATGGCTGTGACTGCGTCCTCCTCTGCCTCAACAAGGTCGCGGGGCTGGGCCTCGACCTCGCGACCGAGCTCGAAGAGGGCGAGTCGCTCGTGATCCCACCCATCGTCGAGACGTGGCAGCAGCAGTTGGAGCTCAACGGCATCGACTTCTCGAGCGGCAAGTTTTACCTCATGGCGACCGAAATGCACGGCTCCAGCAAGGCAGAGACCTCGAAGATGACTGCGCGCCAGCGCAGCCGGTTGAAGGAGGACATCGAAGACAACCTGGAAGCGGTCCGCGTCAACGGCGGCCAAACCACAATTGACGTCGTCAACTGGATCCGCGACCAGGTCGACCGCATCATTCAGTCCCGCTCGTCGTCGTAGCCTGCACACGAATGCAATGGTTTTGGTTTTCTTTCGATGCATCAGGTCACAATATGAGGCGCGCTCACGGGCTCTGCCACGAGACTGTGCACCGGTGCACAAACCAAGTTGCCTATTCGCTGCAGCCTACCGGTACGGCGCAAGCTACCGTTGTACTACAGGAAAATGAATGCGGCAAGGTCCCAGCGAGCTGCCCTGCGTGGCGTCCTAACCTGAAGTGGAGAGGTCTTCTTGCTACTCCTCGACCCGCCTTGCACCTGTAAAATGGGTCGAATCAGACGCCTGGGCCATGCCAGTGCTCGTTCGACATAAGCTTCTTTGCACAAGGCCGACTGCGCTACTCGTAAATAGTGCTGACTAATAGGACTGCAGCTATCAGTCAACCTGGTCTCGAAGACTCGAGCTGCGGTATCGCACGGGCCAAGGACACTTGGCTACTCGATGGATCGGGATGGGGCGCGCCACAGCCAATCAAATGCGTCCAGAGTGTAGGTGCAATTGCACTTGGGTG